TGTTTAGGGACCACCATTGGGAAGTGGTCACCAAATGGAAAATCATCTGACTTCAGTTGTGTTTTCTTTTTCCTTGAGAATGCTCACCCCAATGCGGGAATAATTAGCAAAAACAGGATTAAGGGTTCTACTTACATTCATTGGAGAGAAAGGGATCACAAGAGAATAGGCAGGCACATAGCAGGGAATATACTGAGCTGTTTGCATAATGTGCTCATGACTCCCAGCCACAAGCATGCTTGGGACTACCACATTGCTTTTGATGTCTATTCCCCATTGTGTGCCTGCCTATCCTCTTGTAATCCCTTTCTCTCCAATCTCTCCACTCTGCAAGGAGGAGAAAAAAAGGAAAAAAAATCTAGGTCAAGCACAGGATATTGTGTGCTGACTGTAATGACAATAAATGAGGGAGTTGGTCATGAAGTTATTTTTTTCCAGCACCGTAGTAAGTTTGAACAATTGCTGAATGAGGCAGTCAGTAAGTGAGGGCTGCCTATATTTGTATCACCAAATAAGCAAGGCACTATGCATAGAACTCAATTCTCAGAAAATATACTACGATCAAGTTATTCTAGGGCAGTGATGGCGAACCTTTTAGAGACCGAGTGCTCAAACTGCAACCCAAAACCCACTTATGTATCGCCGGGTGCCGGGTGGGCATGGCCCATTGGGTGGGTGTGGCCCATTGGGTGGGCATGGCCCATTGGGTGGGCGTGGCTGCGGTGGTAACGGCAGACTGGGTGGGACTAAAAAGTTCAATCAATTCCAACTTTAAGAGATCTTTTTTTCCCGTGAGAAGTTGAAATTGATTGATTGATTGAACCTTTTGTTGTTGTTGTTGCACACGGCGGTGGAGGCCTAAAGCGAAAAGGTTTTATAAAACACAGCTGAAAGCCTAGGACTGGGGCGACGGCGTGCGTGCCCACAGAGAGGGCTCTGCGTGCCACCTGTGGCACGCATGCTATAGGTTCGCCACCACGGTTCTGGGGTCTCTTTACAAAAGGTTTCAACATTTCTACTGTAAAGTATGGACCACTCTTTACCATCTTTTCGCTCTATAGATAAAAATCATCCTGCAAGGTACATCAGAGTTAGCTTTCTTTTATAGAAGAAATTGGTCTGAAAGACAGAGATTTGATGTTGTGGAATACAGGGAGATTGCCTAGATTTAACTCAATATTTTGGGGGTAACATGATCTTGTGGTCGCCTACTCATACACGTAAGCGGCATTCACTAGCAAACCTATGAAATGCTGAAGATGCCCTTCTATGAAAACATTTGTAGCAAGTTGAAATTATCCTAACTAGCAACAAGGAGAAGAACCCATCAGGAACCTGCACCCCAGTAAACCAAATTGTTTCTACAGTATTCACTGACTGTATCTCAGAGATGGTATGGCTGGCATGCTGACCTTGTAATTGGGGATAAATAATAAGAAGGTCTCAGAGATGGTATGGCTGGCATGCTGACCTTGTAATTAGGGATAAATAATAACATCATACTGTGATTTCCAGTGTCTGTCTTTTTTGTCTTTGAAATGTAATAAACCAAAGGTATATAAGCTCTGGTTCTGCTTTTGCTCAAGGCTTGCTCACAAAATGCCAAAACGTTGCTAGCAGTCCAGCATATACTATATGCATGCAAATAAAATTAGGTTGTATCTTCAAAGAGATTTGGTTGCTTTAGGTGAGCCAGGTTTAGGTCTCAACCATCTAAAAATGTTTTGCGTCCAACTGCAGAAAAAAAGGCCGAGTATAATTTGCATATGTGCAAATTAAACATACCTATGGTACTGGAAGGAGAGGATCTTCCTTCTCGACGTCCAGTGGATTCCGAAGAGAATTTGGTTGCTTCTTCCTGGAGTTTCAAGGTCTCTTGTGCTTTTTTTTGCAATGCTTCCCTGCACAATTAAGTGGTAGATCGTAAATGCAATGGGAACTAGATTCTAGCACTGTGCAGAATTGATTTAGAAGAGCTGCTTGGTACTCATGTGGCACAGCACCTCTTGGCTTCTTATTAAAGCAAACGTGTCTTTTCCCCCAAACTTTTGTATAAGACTAGGAAAAAGAGTTGTGACTGATTTGCATTAAAGACACAGCTGCTTTAATGATTTGTCTTGTTAAAGCAAGTGCATCTTTTTTCAAACACACGGGAGTCTAAGAATGAATGTGGCTCTTTTAATGAGCAGCAGAGAGGTGCTACGTTCATGCAAATTCCAATTCTGAATTAATCCTTCTGAATAATTTTCAAAATGGGCACATCTCTACTATCGTTAACACATTTCCTAAATGTAAAGTGAAAATGAAAAGCATCAATGCATTTCAAACTTAAAAGATCTCCGGAGGTTTCTTATTGTTCAGAGAAAATGTTTTGTTATTCTAAATATCCCACTTGTCGTAGTAAAAACGTTGAGCAAAAAGTTAACGGCAAATCATAATTGAAATGTCTGTAATAGTATAAAACCAGGTACTACCTTAGCTCGTTAATATTCTTACTCATTTTTGTAAAACCTGCAAAAAATAACAATTATTTTATTGCAACGTTATAAATCAAGTTCATAAATCTTTTGACAAATCGTGTCAATAAAAAGACATTACAATACTTGTGGTTTATATTTTATGGTAGAAGTCATACTTGTTAAATGTTAATTATTTATTAATAACATTTAACTGGCTGCGCAATTCAAAGAAAATGACGTTGGGCAGCATAGAAGACGAAAAACCTTCCACAATAAATACAGTGTAAGGAACCAATATAGGTAGTCCTCAACTTATGACTGACCATTTAACAACCAAGAAGCAATGGATGGAAACTAATCAAGGAGAGAAGAAACCTAGAACTAAGGAGAAACTTCCTGACAGTTAGAACAATTAACCAGTGGAACAACCTGCCTCCAGAAGTTGTGGGTGCTCCAACAATGAAAGTTTTCAAGAAGAGATTGGACAACCATTTGTCTGAAATGGTATAGGGTTTCCTGCCTGAGCAGGGGGTTGGACTAGAAGACCTCCAAGGTCCCTTCCAACTCTACTACTACTACTACTACTACTATTATTATTCATTAGACATGAACCTCAGTCAACTGAACATTCAAATTGACTGGCGTTGATGGTTGACAGGGGTTGCTGCCAGCAACTAGTACTACTACTACTACTACTACTACTACTACTACTACTACTACTACTATTATTATTATTATCCATTCAAAATTAGGATAGACTTTTAAAAAGCTACTTATGGCCTGTTGTAGAAATTACAATTGCTGCCTCCGTGTGATTGGCAACCAGCAGAAAGTGTGGGGAAAATGGCCATAAATCATTTTTTTCAGTGCCATTTTAACTCTGAACGGTCACTAAACGAACTTTTGTAAGTCAAGGACTACCTGTAATCCAATTGGGAGGTAACTAAGGCGAGTAACCAGAAGCAGGAACAGGAGCACCTGGTGCACAAGACAAATTTTTGCAAAGGTTCATCCTGATTCTCACTTAATAACCGTGTTACTAACTTAACAACTGAGGTGAGTCACTTAACAATTGCGGCAAGAAAAGTGGTAAAATGGGGCAAAACTAATTCTGCCGACTGCCAGCAGTTCGATCCTAACTGGCTCAAGGTTGACTCAGCCTTCCACCCTTCCGAGGTCAGTAAAATGAGGACCGAGATTGTTGGGGGCAATAGGTTGATTCTATAAAACAGCTTAGAGAAGGCTCTAAAACAATGTGAAGTGGTATATAAGTCTAAGTGCTATTGCTATTAACAAATGTCTCGCTTAGCAACATAAATTTTGGGCTCAATTGTGGTCATAAGTCGATTACCTGTATAAGGAAATAGACAAGGGTTTCCCAGACCTATCCCCCAGGGTCTAAGATCTGACACAGAAATTTCACTCGACTTAATTATAAGTTGGGTTTTTCATCCCTTTGTTGTTGTTAGTTGCGAAGTCATGTCCGACCCATTGCGACCCCATGGACAACGTTCTTCCAGGCCTTCCTGTCTTGTACCATCTTCTGGAGTCCATTTTGCAAATTGAAGTATACACAGACTAAGAAAGAGGTCTGCCCTCTAAAAACTAGCATCTTGAATAAAAGCAAGGCTAGAGCAATGTTTCTCAACGTTGGCAACTTTAAGATGTGTGGACGTCAACTCCCAGAATTCCCCAGCCAGCCTGGCTGAAGAATTCTGGGAATTGAAGTCCACACGTCTTAAAGTTGTAAAGGTTGAGAGAGACATTGAACTAGACTCTAGAGAATCTCTTTGTTCAGGAACAAAGTTTTCAAAGACATAGGAGGATGTTCATGACACAAGTCCCACTATAAACTAAAATATACGGATACGGACACCAAACTTCACAGGCACCAGAATATAGCACAATTCCTGTATTTCTATGAATCATTTGCACAGTTACAAATGACTACAGGCCTTGCATTTTCCATACACAGATAGTCCTCCACTTACAACAGTTCACTTAGTGTCTGTTCAAAGTTACAAAGGCATCGGGAAAAGTGACTTATGACCAGCTTTCACGCTTACGACATTACAGCACCCCTATAGTCACGTGATCAAATTTCAGAGGCTTGGCAACTGACTCGTATTAGTGACAGTTCCAGGGTCCCAGGGTCATGGGTCACTTTTGATAAGCCAAGTCAACGGGGAAGACAGGTTCACTTAACAACCATGATCCTAGCTTAACAACTGCAGGGATTCCCTTAACAACTGTGGCAAGAAAGGTCATAAAACGTGGCAAAATTCACTAAATGACTGCAACGGTCCTAAGTCACTTTTTTCCAGTGCCGTGGTAACTTTGAACAGTGACTAAATGAACTGCTGTAACTCAAGGACCACCATTAAACTGCTCTATAGTACTTTATAGCAATCTCTGGGCGGTTTACAAATGTCAGCATATTGATCCCCAACAATCTGGGTCCTCATTTTATCAGCCTCGGAAGGGCGAGTCAACCTTGAGCCCCATCAGGATGGAACTGCAGACAGTGGAAAGAGTTTTTGCCTGAATACTGCATTTTAACCATTGTGCCCCCGTGGCAGCTAAGTGTGTTTTAGCATTATGTCTAAAAAGTCAATGTAAATGCCTTAATTAAATAATACTAAATGCTAAAAAAAATGCTAATAATCATCTGAGTTTTCAGCCAGTTGCAATCTTTGTGCTGGCGGAGGGTCTCTGAAGCCCAATGAAGCAAAGCATGATAAAACCAGGTATTCCTGTTATCCAAACACCTCACTGGGAATTTACAAAAGCTCCTTACACTTTTAAGCATCTCTGTGTCACAGCGGAACAATCATTAACCATGAAACTTTCAAGCAATCTTTTAATCATTAATACGGCACTATGCAAAAGAAAGACACTGTGTTGGCCCTCTTTTCCTAGCTTATGTTCACTTCTATATATGAATATTCACATTATTGCCTAGGGTTACTTCAGTGACTGAGATGTTGTGCGTCAATAAATGAATACATACCCGACATATAAAGCCAGGAAATAAGAAACAAGAAAAAGGCAGGGGTTTTTTTTGTATTTGTAAGTGCCCAGAATCTATGGGAGTGGAGGCTATAATAAATTTAAATAAATAAAAAATAAAAATAATGTAATAATTCGGACATGTGATGCGACATGTCCGAATATTTCGGACATGTGATGCGACACCCAGAAAAATATGGCATACTCTACTTAATCCTCCAGGGAAAGATTGAAGGCAAATGAGGTCCAGGCAGAAGAAGAACACTGTGGCTTCAAAATCTAAGGGACTGGTTGGGACAAAACTCAGCAGCACTTTTTTGTGCGGCTGCTGATAAAAACAGGATCGCCAACATGATCGCCAACATCCGATAACGGATATGGCACAAGAAGAAGAAGAAGAATGTAATAATAATAATAATAATAATAATAATAATAATAATAATAGTAGTAGTAGTAGTAGTAGTAGTAGTAGTAGTAATAGTAAGGAGGTATCTGGTTGACACCTAGGATACTGGTAGCAAGCCATGTGTCAACCATCAGCGCCAGCCAATTTGAATGTTCAGTTGACTGAAGTTCATGTTTAATGAATAAAAGATAATAGCAATAATAATAATAGTCTGTTTTCAAGGCATCACCTATTAACAATGAATAGGTGTACCCGTTCAGAGGTGCTAATGTGTTTGTGTTGGGTGCTAGAAGGAAGGCTGGCATCCATTCCAGATTCTCCTTTATTTATTTATTACATTTTTATGCTATTCTTCTCCTCTATAAGGCGACTCTTACCTTTGGCCTACTCAGTTCTCTAGCTTCTCACAACACACACTGAATCGTAAGTTAACCACGTAAGCTGGCATCCAAACTTGGCTACACCGAAATGACATTGGCTTGTTTGTGAATCAAAGCCTCTGAGACACTCCGCTATTCATAATAGGAGCCATCTGTCAGAAATGGTGCAGGGTCTCCTGCTTGGGTAGGGGGTTGGACTAGATGACTTACCAGGTGCCTTCCAACTCTGTTATTCTGATCATTCTGATTATTAGGGTTCAGCTAAGGGAACCAAGAGGGGAAGAAACCTATTCTGATGTGAAGAATATTCTTATTCGTGTGTTTTTCTTCAATCAGCATGTTTGTCAACCTTTTGGCTTGCCTGGGCTGCGCTGACTGAAGAGAAATTGTCTTGGGCTGCATATAAAATATAGTTGATGTATACAAATAAGACACTTCCTGTATTTGTTTTTTACATTTTATAGGATCATGTGGGGCCAGATGATTAGCTGTCCAGGGCTAAAGCCACCTGCTTTAGAAGATCTTGGTATTCTAAAAATGAGAAGCAACATGATCTTGATTCAGGGGTCAACGGAAGTATCTTAGATTTTCTCTTTTCCTTAGATTTTTTCCCCCCTTTATATTCCCTCTGTATCCATCATTGTTACAAATATCGATTCACTGATATATGACTTTTGCTTGGTTTGCTATGCTTCGCCAATTAAAATGTATGTGTTTATGTATAGAAAAATAAAGATCTCGTACAAAATCCCGACTTACGGAGGGCGATCCGTCGTACTCTCTGGTCTCCCCCTTTCAAATCCCAGCTAGGAGCCCTTCGGGGCTTCTCCTGCTAAGACGGCTGGGCACCTGGAAAGCTTCACCCATCTGCTGGAGCAGTCTGCCAGGCCTGGATGGCACCGTGGGGTCCTTCAAAGGGCTCAATCAGTCTCTGATCCTGGGGGATGGCTTGGATTACCCATGGCACCCAGGTGAGGCTGGCTTGCCCCACCTTGACAGCATCTCCCTTCAACACAGCCAGAGGCTTGGCCACCTTGGAAGAACAAGGATAGGGGGGACACTGGGGAGAGCCTGCTCCCCGAGGCCCAAGGTGTGTCCCACCTGCTGCAGGTTGCCCCGCCCCCTGGCAACTCACCTGCGAAGGACCAGTGGGGAAAGAAATAGACTGGACAGATCATCAGCGGCCTGCAAAACCACAGTGGCCTCTGCTGTTGGGAGGTGGTACTGCAGGGACTGGCTTGAGAGC